ATGGAGCCTTGTTATTAAGGGCTTTGTATGTTAGGAGAAGGATTTTAAATTCTATTCTGAATTTTACAGGGAGCCAGTGGGGAGAAGCTAATATGGGAGAGATATGATCTCTCTTGCTAGTTCCTGTCAGTACTCTGGCTGCCGCATTTTGGATTAACTGGAGGCTTTTTAGGGAATTATTGGGATATACTTATAGTAAAGAGTTACAGTAGTCCAGCCTGGAAGTAACAAATGCATGGACCAGTTTTTCAGCATCACTTTGAGACAGGATGCTCCTGATTTTTGCAATATTGCGCAGGTGAAAGAAGGCAGTTCTAGAGACTTGGTTTATATGTGATTTAGGACATATCCTGATCTAAGATGACTCCAATGTTCCTCACAGTAGTACTAGAGGCAAGAGCTATGTCATCTAAAGTAACTATATGATTAGACAGCAGATTTCTACAGTTTTCAGGCCCAAGCACAATGACTTCGGTTTTGTCAGAGTTTAGAAGTAAGAAGTTGCAGGTCATCCAGGCCTTTATGTCTTTACATGCTTGAAGTTTGACCAGCTGATTTGATTCATTTGGCTTCATAGATAAATATAACTGAGTATCATCTGCATAGCAATGGAATTTTGCATAGCCGATCCCTCAAGACAACCGTGTTCTCTTGTGAGTAATAGCAGGACATTCTCTACCAAACAACGGAAACAAGACTGAATATAAACTGTGTTTTAGTAATTCATAACCCCTCACTACCTCACCAAGCGTAATGCAATATCCAACTCCACCATGTGAATTACTAAGTGCGATGTTTGAAGTTCACTGGGGAAAATACTATTACCTTATTTTTGTATATTGTGGTTTTTAATACTTTTGCTGTCTTTATGTAACTTTTTATTTTAAGACGTAAGTGTTCTTTCTGGCTTTTGACTCCTTACCTGACTCCAAAGGAGAGCTGCACAAGAATTCCTATATGCCTAGACTGTTTATGCATAAATGGCAAATAAAAATCTTGATTTGACTTGACTTGAGTATATGATTTGGACAAAACACATAAACACTCGCAGGTGCAAATTCCTTGCACTGAAGCACGCATTGTTTGAGTTGTGAATCTAACACCACACCTTAAATTTTAATAGTGCCTATCAGAACTTAGACTATTCAATTTGTTTTTACTGGTTACTTTGCAAGACATATGCTTTAGTGATGACTGGATCCTCAAGTGCTCATAAAATGTATCATTATGAATTTCAGTCATATTATGCAAATATCCTTCTTCATCTCTTGGAGAAAAAAAGTTGTGCTGGCGCGCTCTGGCAGGACTACATCTATATGCTAAAGAGGTCTAAATAAGTGCACAGTCCAGCGAGTACACATTTCAAATTTGCAGTGTACAAATGGAGTCTTTAAATTCCATCATTTATCACAAGTGGATCAAAGTTTATGATTGAAATGAAGTAAACAGGAAAATTACAGTGGATTTAGTCCTCTTTATTTTTTTTTGCACACTTTGTCCTGTAGGTTTCACTTTAAATAAATAAAATTGCCATTTTGCTCATCAATCTGCACTCAGTAACCCACAGTGATAAAGACCCATAACTGTACAAGCCCCTTTGGCAGCATAGAGTTCCAGTGTTCTTGGATAAGACTCTCTATAAGCTTTGCTTTGCACACTTGGACTTCTTTATCACATTCTTTCTGGACTGGATGTGAAGCATCTGTGAACTGTCATCTTCAGCCTTCTCCACAAATCTTCTGTGGGGTTTAAGTCTGGGCTTTCGCTAGGCCACTTAGGAACAGTTACTGAACATCTCTGACTCAAGTGTATGTAATACATGAGAGTCACAAGCTGGGGCTAGTGTGACATATGTGTTTGACTTACCTCGAACATGACCTGGCCTAGTGTGCAGTTGTTTACATACCTTTGGATTACAATTTGTTGTGATCAGCACCTGATCTTAGGCATGCTCACACTACTTTGAGTACCTACTGATTTGAATAATAAAATGTGGCATAGAAATAAGAGCAAAGCACTGCAAGTGGACAAACATGATGCTGACTCCACTGTGCTTCACTGTAGGGGCGGTGTTAGCAGGTCATGACCAGTGCCTGGTGTTCACTACATATAGTGCTGGGAGATCTGTACAGAGAGTTCAGTTTTTGTCTCATCAGACCAGAGAATCTTTTTCCTCATGCTCCCAGAGGCCTTTAAATGCTGTTTGACAAACTCTAAGCAGCTTTTATTTGTATTTAACCATGTAAAGCCTGACACATCAAAAAATAGCCAGAACATTTTAATATTTTGGAACTGAGATGTTTATTAAACCTTTTAACAAAATCCAAAAGAAAATTCAAGATTTTTATTTGCCATTTATGCATAGACAGTCTAGGCATATAGGAATAAATGTGCCATATTATTTAGATTTATTTTTTATTTTTTGTATCACATTTGGTACATGGGGCACTTTTGGCAACTTTTTTTGCTCAAACCTGAGTAGCAAATATGATACAAATTAAAGTGGCTTCTGTCCTGCTAAATGCCTGACTGATGGAGAGGTGCTGAGATGATTGTCCTTCCAGCAGGTTCTCCATTTCTGCAGAAGACTTCTGAAGTTATACTAAAATGACTAAAATAACCATTGGGTTCTTGGTCACCTCCCTGACCAAGGCCCTTGTTATGTTACCCAGCTGCTCACATTAGTCAGACTGTAGGAAGAGTCCTGGTGTATCCAAACTTCGTCCATTTCAAGGCCACTATGCTCCTGGGAACACTCAAAGCTTTAGACATGATTTTATACCCTTGCTCTGATCAGTTTTATCACAGAGGTCTTGAGAGAGTTTTTCAGTCCTGACATGCAGTATGAATTGTAGGGCCTTATACAGGTACCTTAATTTCAGGTTGCCAGAGGTGGACTCCAGTCATGTTCTAGCCACATCTCAAAGAGAAGTCAAAGAGACAGCATGCACAGGACCAAAGTTTAGAATGCTCTAGCCGAGGGTCTGAATACATTTATTAATGAGAGGGTTTACTTTTTAATTTTCAATAAATTAGCAAAAATGTGTACAAAGTATTACTTGACATTATGGGTTACTGGGTGTAGACTGATGGGTAAAAATGGGCGACGTTTTGTCCATTTAAAGTTACATTTGCAAGTGACAGGGTCGGAATATTTTCTGAAGCCACTGTATAATGTCTAAAGGACATAACAAAGAAAGAGATGTATTGCCATGTGCTCTTACATGTTATCATACAGTATATATATATAGTACATATAAGTAAAATATAGTGCAGCAGTGGGAGTAAGACAGCTCCTTTTCATAGACGCATAAATCACAGTGATCCATACTGTACAATTCAAAGGCTTTAATAGCATGACTTAATGATATCAACAAGTTTCAAGGCATTCAATTCGAGACCAAGCCAACAGATCCAACTCATATGAACAAGTTTTGTCCTTTAGAATGAGAATTTAGTTGGACAAGTAATCTTTTTGCTTGTATGAACAAATCTTAGATGTGCTGCATGGTTGTCTCTGTCTCACTGGGTGTACTGTGCAGATGCATCTCCAGAATTAAGGCGTGGATAAACACACTGAGAGTGCTGGTCCCAACATTGCTCAATACACCATTAAACAATACCAAGGAATCAAGAGTCGCAAAGTATACCAACTGTGTTCTCAAAATGTGGTCAAGATGCTATCATTTTCATAGGCATGCATCTTTATAGTTAGCTTATTTCAACGTTTTCACTTTCAGAACTCTGTTGTGGGAAAAAAATCCATAGATTATGTAAGAGCTGTGTGCAATAAAAGCTGGTAAAGCATGTATAAGTAAGAATTTCTTGTAAATGTAATAAAGCCCTTCACTACAAAATTGAACATTCTAGACTAATATCCCCTTATAACTAATACAGTTTGAGGAGAATACAAATTCATATATAATACACTATGCACATGAATCAGCCTGTTGTTCTGGAGTTCTGGAAAGTCTGTTGGAACAGCAGTGGCCCAGCAGGAGGCAGTCTTGTTTAACAGGAGATGATGAGGGCATTCAGAGACTGCTGACTCTGTGTTCGCTCCAAAGGTCCCCCAGTGGACAGAATCTCACAGGCAGCCAGTTCATGATAGAGAGCGTTGAGCACCTCTAGAATGTGGGCTTTCCCTGTGCAAAAACAGAACAGATGTGACCGCTGTGGGAATCTTGTTACAGACGACCAGACGGGAACTTAATTTAATTCCCTGCACTGAGTACCTGTAAATTTTTCTGATCACATTTCACAGGACTTGAAATGATTTTATTGTACTTACCATGTTTGGGGTCACTGCAAGACTCCAAAGTGCTCAGCAGCAAGACTTTCCCCAGAGACCTCTGTGAGATGTTCTGAAACGAGAGAGAGAGCTATTCTCAGATATCAGGCACTTTGACATGTAGTCTGACTCTTGTAACCACAAAATCTCCCACACATGCCGAACAAGTGAAATTAAATTGTTCTTAAATGTATAATCAGTCTATAATCAATCTCACACTTTTAGGGTCAGGTGGCAAACAAATGTTCACAAACCAAATTTAAAACAATCCCAGTACTGGTGTGTTATTTCAGTGACAGAGAGACATGTGTTTGCTGATTCAACAGGTCAACATGGACTTCTAATTCCCAAGTATCTTTATGTTAATGACCATATGGTGGTTTGTCGTTGAACAATGCTAGTGAATGCTTTCAATTTGTTTTCCTTTTTGATGTCTAGCCAGAAAAATGGTTTTAATGCAGTGGGGTAGAGTTTATTCAACTCAGCAGCCAAGATTTTCATTATTTTCAGTAGAGAGTTTGAGCTCATACAATGGTCTAACTGATGTTTACAGGATTTTATAGTCTGCTAAAAATCAAAACAATATGTTTTGTCTTTAAAATGGTTAAAAAAATGTAAACAGCAGCAACAAAAACCATTGAATATGAAAGTCTTACTGTAGCTACTAGGAGCTTCAGTTACTGTCAAAATTGACATCCTAAGACTCAACAGTGCAGTTCCACTGAAACTGACTAACCAGGTCCCTGAGCTGCTGGAGGAGCTGCAGAATGTCCACAAGTTTCTCCTCCACCAGGGACAGATGAGCCCTCTCTGTCTCCAGCATCTGCAGCTCCATCTGGTGCAGCTCAGTCTCCTCAGCCTTCTGCTGCAGCTCCTGGACCAGAGAGTCCTTAATCTGGACACATAACATAAGGTGTCATATGGTGAGGCACCTGGCCCTTTAAAACATCACAATAAATATAAATAATATACAGGTGGAGCTCAATATATTAGAATATCGTGGAAAAGTCAATTTATTCCGGTAATTCAACTCAAATAGTGAAACTCGTGTATTATATAAATTCAGTACACACAGACTGAAGTAGTTTAAGCCGTTGGGTCTTTTAATTGTGATGATTTTGCTCACATTTAACAAAAACCCACCAATTCACTATCTCATACACACATGACACATTTGTCATTGAAACAGTTCTTTTTCTTGGATCTTTTGTTTTTGTTTGTTTTGTTGTCAGTCTTGTTGACCATTAGCCTCTTTCATCTATTTTTAGCCTCTTTCAGCTTATGGTTTCGGTTTTATGGTTAATTTTCATTAACCTTGTTTTGAGCAGCAGCAAGTAGCTGTTCAGACAATAGGAAGCTTTGATAAACCCACTGTAGACTATATCCCCAGCACCAAAAAGTATATTTCCCAGAGCCTAGAAAACAGAGTTTTATTTTCACAATATCAGTCCCATGTACTGTAAAGTCTATGGACCAAGCGGGAGTGCTCGGGCAGGGCCAACTTTCAGTGGAACAAATGGGTGCCATCCTGTAATCTGGTATCCAGTTTTCATTAATCCATCCATGGTTCAGCCATGGTGGCCATTACTGCATAGTGAATGGCTATACAGTTTGGTGAAGAAGGATCTGCTTTTTGAGTTCTCAAAGAATGTGAACAGTGATGAGAGTTCTGCTCAAAGAGCTGACCAATCTTAGTTAAATCAACAACAGAAAAGAGGGGCGCTGGGGTGCTGGCGGCAAGCAAATAGTCTCGGCATGAATGCAATCAGAGTAACAGTGATAAGTGACAGGTTATAATGCTTGTGCTGTACACATGTCCATTGTAAAACATGTTGCAACTTATTGATACTTCCTAATCTTCCTAACCTCCTAACCTCTCGGTGTCACTCAGCCCAAAGTACCCTTTCCCGACTGAAGATGCAAACAGCTCCCAAATATGTAGTTTCATTCTTAAAAATGGCTCAGTAATTTAGCAAAGCACTGTTACTCAAACTGGAGGACATAGGCCTAGTGCATTTGTTTAGTAGTCTTTTCAGCTGCAGACTAACCCACGTGGCAGTGTGGCTCATTGATGTGTTTTTAACAGTTTTTAAACAACAATACCGCTGTATAGCACAGAGGGATAGGATACTGTATACCAGTCTGTGGAGACACACAACACTTCCTAATAGGAACAACTTATTGTTGGTTTTTAGTCTTTTTGGTGGCTTTGTTGAAAATATGAAAATTACAAAACACCACCAAATATAATCATTTAAGACAAAACAGATTTTAATAACCTGTCAAGATATATTCATAAGATAAACATAAGCTTGAAAAAGCAGCAGAATAAGTGCCTCTTTTAACAGTTTTCCCTGTAGGCCTGCTAAATATCTTGTAATATAAAGAAAACATACCAGAGGAGAGCGAGTCTATCAGGCTCAGAGCTACAACTGCTAAATCAGACTTTGACCAATGCTGAGGGAATGTTGAGCTTCACTACTTTGTCTTGGGACCAGTAATGTCTGAGCAACGATATACTGGTAGAGTTTTATTGTCTGTTTAGTTCTTATTCAAATTCCGTTATACATACCAGCTGCAACATTAAATGAGATGAAAGTGGCATTTATGGATGTAACTACACTTTGTAGTGCCTGACACAGGTGTTCCAAAGTCATCCTGAGCCCATGTGGTTATATTGCTTATAGAAGAGTGACAATTATTGATGCAGTGTCGTCTGAGGGATCAGAGAGCACGGTCATCCAGCTTAGACTTGTGTCTTTTGCCCTTTACCTAATGAAATCCCTCCAGATTCCTTGAATCTTTTAATCATGTTCTGCACTGTAGAGGGTGACGTATCCAAATCCCTTCCTATCTTTCTTTGAGGAACATTGTTTTTAAATATTTCACTAATTTTCTTACACATATGTTGGCAAACTGGCGGTCCTTGGCCCATCTTTGCTCCTAAAGGGCTCGGCCTTTCCTGGATGCCATGTTTGTATCAAATCATGATGCAGGCACCTGTTGACATCACCTGTTTCAAATGGAATCATCACTTTATTGTTTTACCTCATTACTGGCCCTGAAATGCAACCGTCCCAACTTTTTTTTGGAATGTGTTGCAGAATCAAAATTGAAGTGTTTATTTTGAATAAAGAATAAAATTGATGAGGTATCACATCAAATAATGTGCTGCTGTGTTGTTTCCAGCCAACTTTTTCTGATTTGGGGTTGTACTTGTAACAGAGTATGTTTACAAGGTGGTAATGCTACCTTTAGTTAAGTAAGAGCTTTAAGGGTGAATCTAGACTTGTCGTTAGAAGGCACCAAAAACAGTATACTTTCTATCACTCTGTGACACTACCAGAAATAAAATGTCTAGGATAATGTTTTTATCATTGTAAACAATTAATGCTAAACCATGACATCGGGTAGTACACTGATAAAAAATTAACTTGTTTTAGCCTACATGTTGGTGTATGGGTGTTTTCTGGTGACAACAAGCTGAATTCGACATTGTCTGCCACAGTGGATAGTTGTGTATAAAGGTCTATAGGCTACAAGCTTTCCTTTCCATTCTTAACAAACTGAACTGGTACTGCCGATGCTGTTCTGTGAAAATGTCGGGGATTAAATTACTGTCAAGGTTCTTCCAATAAAGAATAGCATTTCCGGTTACAAAAAATAAAACTACTATTGATTCAACCCTGAGTTCTGAATATACTGTATGATATCTGAGCTATATTTTATCTGTTTCATTAACATTGGATGTGTACAGAAGAGTATTAGGGCCACTGCATAAATTTTTTTTTAATACTGACTTTATTCTCAAAATTCTGGAAATTCTGACTTTATTCTCAGAATTCTGACTTTAATTTCAGAATTCTGACTCTAATCTCTGAATTTTGACTTTATTCTGAGAATTCTGACTTTAAACTCAGAATTCTGACTTTAATCTCAGAATTCTGAATTTAATCTCTGAATTTTGACTTTATTCTCAGAATTCTGAGAGTCACTTGTGCACATCATATAAGCAGTTTCTGGTTGTTCTGAACAAATTGCAAATTCTTGGGCACATTCATGCAAATGATTATGTACAGCTGTCTATTGTTTTGTACATGACCAGTTGCTACTGTCATGTTGATCAAAATATATTATATGGTTCTCTGATGAATAGTCTGACCTCCCAAACCAACTAGTCATCAGCTCACTGCAGGCATATTTCTGTACAGCTCTATCAGACTTTTTTGAAATCGTATCTGAATTGTTGAATTGCTCTCAGGTGCATCTTCACTTTGACTAATGAAGAGGAACGTGTGATGAGTCAGATCAGCCAATGATCCACCAGCTCTCTACTGTAAAATAGCTCAGAGGTGCATCTCATGAACCTTCAGTTGGCAAGTGTATATATAGACAGAGCACTACACAGTGTTACAACTTCTGACTAAAGGAAGAACAAGAAAATGAGCAGCATCAACTACCAGGAAAAAGAAGAGGAGCAGGGCTGTGTGGTGGAAGAGTAGGGAGGCAAAACAGAAAGAGGGAGAAAAGGCTGAGGACAACAGCAGGTTCCTGATGAAATAAGGGCCACACTCATGCACCATGTTGTCAATCCTGGCCATACAGTGGCCAAGGCTGGTCGAAAGCAGCCATGTTTTTATATTTCTAATGTTGCATTTTTTTCCTGTGTGCTATGCAGTGGTGCAAAACACTTTGTTTTCTGTATCACAACGGCAGTAAAAACGCTATAATCTTTCTCAATAAATCTCCCATATACATTAATGTGAAACTGATACATGCCATACAGAACAAGTACAGCCTTGTGTATTTGTGCATTGTCATCAAAGCCTGAGCCACAGTTGATATATGAAAATACTGAGAGTACACTATTATACTGACATGACTAAGCATTTTGACTGCCATGTTCAGAAAGGATGACAAAGAACTTGTCATTCTGATGCACTGACATGTTCAGTGACATAAGTATTTACTTTTGAGATAAACTAAGGATTTTGAGCAAGTGATGGGCTTTTGCAGTTAATCCATTGTGTGGTGCTGTTTGTATAAGCTATTTGGATAAATGCTCTTACTGTTCTGCAAATATCAAGGATGATCTGAGAAATGTAGCTACTGTGTTAAACCTATTCATGAGTAGAGGCAAATTGTTGGTTTTAGTCTCTGTAAGGACATACCATTCGTTTCAAATGACTGGCCATATTCTTCAAGTACTGTGCTTCCACAAAGTCAGAGGTATGGTGGGTAGACATCAACAAAGAGCAAATTCTGCACTAACTTCTGAACAGAGCCACATAATCTTTCTAATAATGCTGTTAAATGGTATTATTTGTGTCAATGCAGAAGTAGGACTGTTGATGTTGTCCACTATAATTGAAACTGCTTTAAAATGGAATCTCTTGGCAGCTGGTATGGACAACACAACACTGAGTACTTCATTGGTCTTGGTTTGGAAGTACAGTACAATCAAATAATTTTAAATTTGCTTATGTGAAGCATTTATTACGGGAAGCAGAGAGATGACAGGAAATCTGGGAGCCACATAAGCAATACAAGTCTCAGTGGAATGCTGCAGTTGATGGTCAGTGTGTTAACCCTTAAGTCATAGCATTAACCTAAAAATGAGTATATTACAAGGGTTTTTAATTAACCTGGGTTAGTCTGCTTTTGCTACTCTGATGATGTGTGCTTCCCGCCTCACAACAGGAGATGGCTGCACTGTGCTGCGGTGGCCCTGCTTGGTAGGGGCCCTGATCCAGGACGCTGTGTCTCTGGCAGCTAGGCTTGTGTGTCTATACTGAAGATACGAGACAAAGCTGGAGTTGTAAAAGTGTCTATGTCTTCAACGCTATAGACTATTTAGAACTTGGTACACACATTCTGTAAAGGATTATACTCTGCCAGCTAAAAACGCCGATGGCCTAGTATCCTGCAGTGCTATTGAACTTCTTTTGCTCTTTACATGAACACTTCAACACTTTGTGATTTAATTTTAAACTTATCATTAATAATCGTTACTGCCTGAAACAAAAGCCAGCTCAAGGTACGCTTTCACCGTGCGCGCTCCCGTGAGGTTCGTGCACTCCTCGGCAGGCACAGAACCAGCAGCACTTGTCGCCCGATCACATGATCTGACTAAGCAGCTAGCTACTTCCTGTGTAGACTGCTAGCCAATTCACGCCCAGACGGCCGCAGAGACTGCGACTTCTGTGTCATCCAAAATGTTGGCCCTCATAAACAGGCTTTTGGACTGGTTCAGGTCCCTGTTTTGGAAGGAGGAGATGGAGCTTACGTTAGTTGGACTTCAGTATTCCGGAAAAACAACATTCGTCAACGTGATTGCAGTAAGTAGCTAGTTACAGAGCTGTCAGTGTGGGCCCAGGCTACTACCTGGGGGAGGTTGTGGACGAAGGTTTTTTTTTGCATGTCCATCCCATTTAGAGGTTATTGTTCCAGAAATTTCAAGGACTTAACTGCACGCCTGGATAGCTGTGGTGCCTTAAGTTACAAAGAGCCCATGTTGCTGCGGTAGGTTTGTAGTAACGATTTCCCCTCAGCTGTTGCTTGGCTAGCTAGAATGACTGTGCGCTTACTTGTGAAAGCGGTCATGTGAGCGGTTTGTGTGCGCTGCCGGTGTGTCGACATCAGCGATGTGTTTACAGCACGGGACACGGTGGTATTTCGCACACTTTGTGTTGTCATCCAGCTTAGAGGCGAGGCCTGCAGCCGCCATGGCTACAAGCTGGGGGGGGTAAAGTCATTTCTGCCTCCCCCAGGCGTTAATAATGTCCCTTTGCTGTTAGGTTCACGGGATCTTGTCGCACGGTTTGATAATAAAACAACAAGAACTCCCCGTCCTTGCTGGACCAGGTGGTGGTTAATGTTTGGCCTGCTACCGCCTTGGCTCGTTTTGTGGTTAGTGCAAAGGTTGTGTTGTCCAATATTGTTGAGCTCTCTGTTTCTAGATGATAGCCCCCAATATATTCTTTAGAAGGAGTCACATTTGTAGTCCAGGGTGTTTTCAGCTCCTCCTTTCATGGATTAGTCGCAGTCATACACATTATTATGTCCCAGCTCTCATGTGGTCATGTCAGGTGATGTGTCACTAGGTTTGAGCCTTTGTCTTTTTCACACAGTCATTGTGAGGCTGTTTGAATAAGCCTATCCAAAAGTTGTAGCATCTTTGAAATGTCTTCAAATATTATTACTTGAGGGTGTAAGACTGGGCAGTGCCAGTCAAAGCAGTTTATGTTACTAGGGTTAGGTAACCCCTCCTGTGTTGTTTTTAAGCTTGTTGGTTACAAAGCTTTGGCTGTTTGTAGGAAGCTGGATCAGAAACTTATGTATTGTGATGCATGGATGGGATTATCTTAACACGATTTAGAGCGTTACAGAGCACGTGTTCAAGCAGCCAAAAATGATCCATTCATAAAACCATTTCCTAATTTCCTCTGACCCCCTGCACACAACTGATTCATATCCACTAGGCTTTTCATGTGACTTCTGATTCAGATGAAACCATACTCACGTTGACAGGTTTTTGTCCAAGATGCAGAAACAGTCACAATGCAGATGAAACAATGTCTCACTTGGTTGATTATCAAAAGTGATGTTGCTTTTATTTTGGTAACAAATTATTTACAATAGCTCATTTATTTCTTACAAAATGCCAACCATTTGTAGGTTCTAGGTTCTCAGTTGTGAGGGTTCTCAGATTTTCTGTTTTTATGCCTCTGTCAAGTGAACAGTTGTGGGTTTTGGTCTGTTATTCATATGAAAGAAGACATTTGATGACATCATTTTTGGCTTTGGGAATTTGTGACACATTTTTTTCAAATTATTTTCAGACAATTTATTGACATGATTTATTGAGAGAACAGTCTGAAGATTCGTTGATAATGAAAAACAAAACAAATGTTAGTTTAACAGGACCTTCCTTACAATGGAGGGTAGAAAAGAGACAGATTAGATGCACATCATATTTGTAATACTGTTTGAGTGCTTATGATTTTATGTGTTGTCTTTGAACAATGTAGCATGCAGTGTTCAACAATGTGCATTTTGTCCTTGTCTTTGTCTCGTACAGTCGGGCCAGTTCAGTGAAGACATGATTCCCACAGTCGGTTTCAACATGCGGAAGGTCACTAAGGGCAACGTGACAATAAAGGTAGGCCAAAGTGTCCAGCTGGATGCTTTCACTGTTGTTATCAGCTGCAATCAATTTCCTACTGGCTGAGATCCCACATAGAGCAGTGTATTCTGCACTGGGGAGTAGTGATTGCAGTGAATGGTTTGGAAAATGTTGCAGAGGTGCTTTTTTGGCTTAGGACTGCATTGCTGATTTTGTGTTGTTTTTTTTTTTCCTGCCTCAGATATGGGACATAGGTGGACAGCCTCGCTTCAGAAGCATGTGGGAGCGCTACTGTAGGGGAGTCAATGCAATTGTGTAAGTTTGTGGGTACTCCACAGCACATGTCCTCTGTGCCAGAAAACCTGGAGAAGGCAAACAGAAAATACACAGAAATGCAAAATAAAATGCTTATTCATTAGGTTTAATGTTTGCTTTGTTTCCCACTTATTTATTGTCTGATATAACAGTATCATTGCATGGTTCTCTTATGTAGATACAATGTGTTACAAATTTCTTGTCTTAATGCGAGCTCTGACGTTTGAACAGTTATATACAAAGGTGTTTTACTTTGTTGTGTGTCAATGGGTTTGCTTTTTGTTCTTTAGTTACATGGTGGATGCAGCAGACAGAGAGAAGATAGAAGCATCCAGAAATGAACTGCACAACCTCTTAGACAAACCGCAACTACAGGGAATACCTGTAAGAAGCCAGTTGTACTCCTTGGACCAAAAGCTCGTGATGTTTCAGCCTCACTTTGGTTCATTACGTTGACGTCTGAGGTTCCACTGACTGTGGTCTCAAGCAGTAATTAATCTCATAATTAGAAATCACTGCAATGTAGCTAACTCAGCTTTGACATTGTCCTTATCAGTCATTTGACCCCAAACCAAGGTTTTTAATGAGTTTCCAAGCTGAGAAGAAATGATAATTGACTTGACGTCAGACGCGGTGAATCGATAGTTTACCTCCTGCTGTGACTTGATACGGCACACAGGCAATTTATTTTGCCCTCTGGTTAGAAAGGGTTCTGTGATGGGTGAAGCATGTGGCTGAGAGAAATCCTTTAGATTGCCTGATCACACTGTGCAGTAATGCTGATACATTGTTGTGCTGGATATTGATCAGGCCTTTCTCCCATCGTTTTCAGGTCCTAGTACTGGGCAACAAACGAGATCTACCCAACGCACTTGATGAGAAGCAGCTCATTGAAAAAATGTGAGCCACACACAATATTGCAGTATTGTTGATAATCCTGCACAGACATTAGCACTTCTCTGGTGGAGGCTGTATTCTAACCTACTGTATGCAGAACTCCGTAATTACTACTAGGGATGGGTATCATTAGGATTTTATCGATAATGATACTGATACTTGCGCTGCTTATCAATACTCTTATTGATACTACTCTCCATAATTTGGTGCAAAAAAATAAAGATGTGATGTTGAATCTTTTCATATCACATCTTTTAATCGTTTTTCTTCAGAAATAATATGGTACTTTAACGGTACTCTTCTGGGTTATTGTTATTTTTAAGAGGAAAAAAAAATAAGAACAGGATCAGCATTGCCTAATTTTCTATAAAAAAAAAATCGGATGCCGGACTTTGACAGTATTTTCACTGTATGGTACTTTGCCTCCTATCCCCAGATCACTAAATCCAGCCCTGCTCTGATCACTCTGAAACGACAGTCTGACAATTTAAATTTATGACTGCGCCCATAACTATCTGCTGGCAAATGGTTACTTTTAATCGATAATCAATGATCATATAATTTGGCTAATTGTGTGTGCCTGCCCCAGGCTGCTAGCATCCATAACATACCTGGACAACCAGAGCTGAGCTACGAGCTAGGCAGACAAAAACTGCATTTCTCTACCTGTACGTGATGGACTTTCCTTAGATGTTTCCTCATATTGTTCTTGTTTCTGCCCTTATGTGGAAAAGACTTGTTGCAATGGGCATTGCCAGTATCGACCCCAGAGAAATATAATCACACATACTGTAATTAAGTCTGGTGTGTGTGTGCTGCAGAATACTGCAGTGTGTGAGACACCCTTTGCACACACACAGGCTCTGAGAGACTGACCTGTCTCTTGCAGCCTGTATTAATCCGAAGCGGAGCTGGTGGAATAAAATGTGCAAGATAACTTTTATGTAGCAACAATAAATAAGAAATCTGTTTTCTTAACTGCTTCAGTACTGATGGTGGAACTGATAACATTTGGGCTTATTGATACTACAGTATTTAATAATTTAGCACTAGTGCCTGTTTAATGCCAGGCTTCAATACCCATCACTAGTAATTATGTATCAGTGGTTTGTTTCTTTGAGATGAGCTTTCAAGTAGACAGTACATGATAAAATAGCTCATGGTTTTCGATTGATATGCCTAACACTCTCATGCAATGTCTGAGTGTCCACAGACCAGTAGGTTTTTATGCTCTTAAAAACAAGTGGCTTATTTTGTTTCCTTGTTTGTTTTTGAAGGAACCTGTCTGCCATTCAGGACCGAGAGATCTGCTGCTACTCAGTCTCCTGCAAAGAGAAGGACAATATAGGTAAAGATCTGAGTGGTGCTTCATAAAGCAAGAGTCCCAGTTAAGCCAGACTTACTTAAGTGCATCGGGCCTATATTCAGGAAATTATGTTAAGTAAGGAAGTTTTAATAAGTCAGACTTAAGTCATCAGGCTTCACCCAGGGCGTAACCAGTGTTATCATCAATTTGCCATACTTGGAACAATTTACTTATCAATTTATATTCTTAATTTACATACTTGATCAGTACTTGTTCAATTTGCCACACTTGCATACATATAAGTGTATCTTAATGTGTTCTTGAAGGCTTTGTTGCTAACATTGTTTTTAGCTGCACTGTGAAGATGAGTCCGTTTTCAGTCCATGTCAAAGCTGATTAGCAGACGTCAGATTTATCACACAGGTTCCATCTTCTGTTTCCAGTAGGAAGTATCTGCACTGTATTTCATAAAACTGAACCACTGGTATAACAATTGGAGACTAAAGCATACGAAGTCAAAATGGTGCAAGTAATAAAACAGAACAAAAACAAAATAGATAAGAGGGAGCAAAACACTGTAAAATGTGACTACAGTAAAATAAATAATGGCCATAAAACATTTATGATACAAATAAAATTCACATTAAACTTGCAAAGGCTACAACATGGCAACAAACTGAGCTCCAGCAGGGCTGAATGCAACACTCCTCTCACCCAACCTGCTAAGGGGAAAGTGTCTTAAATGTTTTGCCTCCCTGCAGATATCACACTGCAGTGGCTCATCCAGCATTCAAAGTCACGGAGAAGCTGAAAGTGAAGCCCTCCCCGGTCGCAGCTCTGGCCTCAGCTCCCTATCGGTCATGGGTCCTCGACAGTCATCCCTTTCACTGCCTCTGTGAAGTAATCCAGCTCTCTCTGCTCACTACTGTCACCACCTGCTCCACCCAGTACACTACCATAGATGTGTAAACCTTGTACAGCACTACCGCCACCCCAACCGTCTGGAGTGTTGAAAAGCTGTCTCAGTCCTGTGCTAGAAGGTGGATTGTCCAAGCCCATCATGCCTTATCGCCTGCCATCACGGGCATGCTGTGTGTCTGTGTACATCATGGACGTTTTTTTTTTTTTTTTTAATTGCTTCTGTTCCCTTCCACACAGGATTCTAATGATGTTGCAGTATACTGTTCCCTGGATACACTAGGACGGAGTTCCTCTATTCCCACAGTCAAACATCCGCTCTGTCGTCTGCCAACATTCGGTGTTTACGTGACATCATGTGATTGTAGCTTTTAACAGTTGTATGTGAAATGATGATGGTTGCTTACGCTAATGCCTTCACTTCCTTATAAACTCTTAGCAATGTAGCTTGCACTTTATTTGCTGGCATATGGAAGTATGTATTTTATTAAGTGACTTGAATTAAAGTTTACACATAACAAAGATCAGTAGAAACAGAGTAGTTGTTGCATTTGAGGCAAAGACCCTGAGACAGGTCAGCAGAGTTTTAAGTGCCTTCGGCTGAGTGAGCACCCCGATCAGACGGTTAATGTCCAATGCAACTTCTAACCCACCATTATAAATAAGCACTTGGTACAGAGACAGAATAAATCCCCTGATTACATTTAATGCCACGTCGCGACAATCTTGTTTTATGGTGTGTAATCATGTAAAAACAATGATTCCTGAGAAAAGACAGCACTGCATTAACTGTGAAAAATGAAATAATGGAGGACTTGGATGAGAAATGTTACTTTGTCTGGTCGATGAATAGTTGGAATGTTTTTTTTCACTTGTAGCTTGTGACTCTTATGTAGCGTGAAATGTGGGCTAACTTTTGCATGAAGTTCTCAGGTTGTAACAGGAATTTTTTAAACTGTTGAGCAAAATGTGGGTGTGCCCAAGTATCTCTTTAGTAATCCCCTATTTTGTTCACATTGGATAACAGAAGACAGTCCATTAGTTTGTGTCAGATGCTTGGCATCATCCATACCTGTTACACCCCTCTCTGAATCATGATGTCTTTTTGTAGAAGCCTTAGCAGTCCAAGGACAACGTTGTCTCTGAGCATGATGTAGTGACTGGCACGTCCTTTCCTCTCAGCGACGAGACAATGATTTCTCACAGGTTTGACTGCTGTATATTAACCTGCCTCTTGCTTGGCCAGCGCATCTTAATCCTTTGGGTGAGTGAGTGAGTGTCACAGAATCAGATTGAGTAATCCCTTCTCCTGTGATATTGTATGTAGGCCTACATGGGTCCTGCATTTCAGTGTAATGTTGTCTCCAGGTCCATCACACACACTCTCTTTTATGTCTCATATTGTTCTGTGTTTGTCGGTGATCATCGTAATCCTAAATGCTGATTGTTGGGACCACAGCAGCAGTGAGGGGCTGTGTAATTTGGGTGACTATGTGGGATAATTTGGGGAAAGCTTTGTTACCTGTGTAATAATATAGCCTATTTGCCGTTTGTATGTGCATGTGCTGAACGTATTCACATTGAATTGCAGACTTTGTAAATAAGAAGTTAGCATTTTTATTCCAACAAATGCTCCTGTAGATGTCATGCATTCTTTCCCTGTGATTGCTAATAAATTTGTTTTTATTTTTAAGGATTTCAGGTCTGACGTCCATATCACTTGGAAAGTTATCTGTAATTTTTGCCACTAGGTGGAAGCAGAGGACTTTGGCAGGAAGCAAGTAAAAGGAGCTGAGCCGTAAAGTCTCCCGATTCTGAATTCCCAAGTCTCACCTGAAGTTGTTTTTCTGGTCAGGGAGGTCACTGTTGAGCAGTGTATGATAACTAATTTTAGCTCAGTTTTTAGCTTTTCTCACACTGGAATTCTCACTTAAACCCTAACAGCACCTTCCACCACAGCAGATCCAAAGGCAGGCAGGCAGCCTACCGGCTCCCACAGTACATTTGGTTTCCAGAATTTGAATCACAAACGTAACTCATTACTACCTTTGTGGATAATATAGTTTTGCTGTTATTACTTACAGATCCCATAACAGAGGATTAACACCTCTCAGTGTTTCTTGGCAGAAAAATAACTTATGCATAGAAATCTAACACTCAGCTTCACAGTGTTAAACAAGCACAGAGGATGTGTTGCAAACTAAGGTGCAATAAAGCGAGCCATGTTCTCACAGCTGGAGCTGCGCAAAGCTGTCAGAGAGCAGGCCTGTGCCGTTAAAGCAGCAATACCTTAATTAATCTCATTTCTTAAATGCAGCCTTTAATGAGTAGCTGCTGGCGTTTGTTGTGTGCCAGGGCGGCAGTTAGAATGTGGATAGATCTAGGTGTTATCCAATGAATTCCATGGGTTGGTGGAGACGTGTGTCCGGACGGGAATCACAGTATATATATGTGCCTGTGCATTTTACTGTTGCAATGACTGCGAGGGTGAGTTACTGTATGTTGGGACCAGGTCATGAAGAGGACCTGAAGGCCTGATATACCATAATTGTAGTTGCACTCCATTACCAGTGCCTCATTATGTAATACAACATGCTTTGTACCTACCACCTCTCCCAACTGCATGATTTAGCCTTCTTAAGTGTTCAGACTCTTCAGTCAGTCCTGTGAATGACCAGAATTACCAAAATTGAATTATGGTCTATTGCTTCAGGCATGATTCATGTCCTCATAGCCTTCACTCTACATACTGAGAAACCTATGAGCTTAATATATTCTCTCGAAAGCCTTGATGGAGGTCTTAAACAATGATTTAACTCAGCTGTCAGCAAGGCTGTGCACAAGGATACAATCAGAGTCGCATCTACTTTATATTTCACTTGTTTTATGTGGCATTCATGTGGACGGCAAAGTAAGAATTTCATTGTACAGGGAAGCATGTTTCCTAACTATGCATATACCACCTTGACCTGATCTACATAACACTGTAGATCTGTGTTATAATTCAATGTGGTACAAATAATGTTCAAATCTGAGTTTACTTTGAATGAACTTTGAATCATGCATCATCATGCAGCAGCTGTTTGACATATTAGCCACCTATCCTGATTCTTTTCTATGAAACACCTCCTTGTCTAATGCATAACAGCACTTTCAGCCTGAAGCTGCTGTCACTTCTGTCTTTGCAGCCCCAGCCAGTATCACTCAACACTTAATGTAGGAAGCCTGCGCTTTATTTTCTCTCAATCATAATACAGCGAACACCTAGTATATGTAACCTCATAAGCCTTTCCTTTTACACAACCTGTGCAGTCATGCACTGAGGTCACACTGTTGTCAGTGACATAGAACACGTGCTTAATATCTGTCCAGTTAAAGACAGTCATTTTTCTCGCGGACATACGGTTGAAGTCATTAAAACAGATTTTTTTTTTTTACCTGATAGAATCTATATCCACACTGAAACGAGTCCTATGCGACATAACCTGAAAGGCTGTTCAGCCAGGAAGAAGCCACTCCTCCAGATCTGACTTTTTGGACAAATGTCCTCTGGTCTGATGAAACAAAAATTTAACTGTTTGCCCATAATGACCATCATTATGTCTGGAGGAAAAAGGGGGAGGCTCGCACAGAGAACAACTCCATCCCAACCATAAAGCACGGGGGTGACAGCATCATGTTGTGCGGGGGCTTTGCTGCAGGAGGGACTGGGGCACCTCACCAAATAGATGGCATCATGAGGAAGGAAGTGGATATATTGATGATTAGATGTATTAAAGCGACATCTCAAGACATCAGCCAAGAAGTTAAAATGTGGCCACAAATGTGTCTTCCAAATGGGCAATGACCCCAAGCAGACTTCCAAAGTTGTGGCAAAATGGCTTCAGGACAACAAAGTCAAGGCATTGGAGCGGCCATCACAAAGGCCCGACCTCAATCCAATAGAACATTTGTGGGCAGAACTGAAAAAGCATG